GTAGAAACATACCTTTTAATGATAGCAACGTAGTTTATCATTGTAATTCATATATAAACTCTTCTCTTAAATTTGTGTTGCTGTAAATAATAATTAACCCTTAGGATTGGTAGAATTTCATGGTTATTATTAACAAGACAATATCCCCTGTGATCGTCTGTTTTCTAATTCAATAATCGGAGGATTAGTCTTAGGTCGGCGTTCTAGACATCAGTTCTCGTCTGCTAGCACATAATCTACTAAGGTTCCTTCATCAGCACTCAATAATGAATTGTTGTAAGCAGTCGAGCCGCTCATTGTTCTTATGAAGTCAATAGAGCTTTTCTCTGTATTTTGACTCCATAAATTTGGTTTTAGTACCCGTGATTAACTTCATAATGATTGAATAACAATAATGCCAACTAAACGTTAGTCCTGCCTACTTCGTGCGCAGTCTGTAGAGAAATGACGTTGATACAACGTAGATAATGAAAGCTTGAAAAGTATTGTGTTTTGGATATAAATATTACAATTACTAATGATAAACATTAGACATTACGTGTAGAGTTTGAGGTCAGTAGTTCACGAAGTTAAATTGTTGGGATGACCCTGTAATTTTCTCGCAAGCGACATGACAAGCTCGTGAGTCATCAAGGAGCATTTCAACCAATCAGCGATTAATTAGAAGTTATGTGAAGTTATGTTACTAAAATAACGAGGATGCAAAAGTCACATGTGGAGATCCTGATTGGCTGATTAATATACTGCTACTATGTTTAGCAGTGTTCTAGAACATTCGGTAAAACTCAAGGTCTCTTAAATTACTATAAAATCCCTGTATTTTCTGTACATAAATGAACCCTGTAGTAAAGTGCTTCCCTCACACTTTGTGCCTTTTCTCTGGTCTTCAAGTCGCTGAGTAGTTCTAGCTCGGGGGTACGGAACTAGCTTATGGAAGCGAATGTAGCGGTCAGAAGTGACATAAATTATAATGTGACAGTTTTTGTAAGTGATGTAAAAAGTACTGGAAGAGTACTTATATTAGTACAACCATACACACATACATAAGGCTTGTTTAGGTTCATAAATACGCAGCTGATGATGTCAAATCTATGTGTGATGTGATAAGTGGAAAGATGAAAATAGTGAATCTTTCGAAATTGTGAAGAGATCACATAAATGTGTAGCAATGCTGACAGCTGTAAGACTGGATATTGATTTAAAAACGCCTGTTTCCAAAAATTATATATTCGTATAACGCGCCTGAGACCTTGAGATAACAACTTTTGGTCTCTACTGCCAGATTGCCTTGATATTGTGCTCGTATTATCGGGGTTTTTTATTGAATAATTTGATAATTAAGTGAATTTGATGCGCCTACTGGGTCGTCCACTCAGATTTATCTGGATCCTCTCTTTTCCAACTTTCTTTATCCACACCTTCCTTTATGGTTTTGTAGAACGGAACTTATCTTCGGACTGAACGCTAATTGCTACACTCAAAGAGTATTCCGAGAACGTCTGAAAATATGTGACGAAGAGATCAATATTCCGAGTAGAGTTAATGACACTTTAGGGATAACTGTATAACTCTTCAAAGTTTAATTCACGCTGAAAAATATAAGAATGCTTTATGTGTGCAGATGTAAATTAAGATGCTAGAATGTGGTTATAAGCAATTCAATAGTCGTATAAATATAACTCTCATTTATGGCACGAATTTATATGCAAAATCATATGATGAATAATAAAGAATACTGCAAAAGTGAGGTGTAAGAGATCATTCTATGGTCTAATAGATCACGTAGGGTAGCCTATGATGTTAAATGATTTGTGATATCGAAGAAACGAAAGTATGACGAATATGTTGAATTACGTCTGATAATGTCAAATGGGATGTCACGAACCAACGGTATTGATGCGAACTTACTTATGCTAAATACCTCTTGAAATCGTGTTTACAACGCTGAATTGATACCACTTCCTGCCGAGTAATCCTATTACAAGCAAACTAGACAATTGGTTAAAAACGAAGCCCACTCCATATCCTATAAAATCTAAAAATAAAACAAAGGTTTAAATAGCTTCGAAAAAAATGGAGACATTCATTTGTATCGGCATACTGTTTTCAGAACTTTATTTTATAATTACACATAATTCCATATTTTCATCTTCTTTCCGAACTACCTTCATTTATACAGGTCCTTATCCACTCATACCTTGTACACAGTTACTTTTCTTTTACACATTAGTATGCTATTACCTAATAAGGACTTCAGTAACAGACAAATAGAATAAATGGTTATACGTTAACTATTCTTCCATGAATATTGTGTGCTCTTCTTTTCGTCCTTCCTTTTTCTTACACCTTTTTCAGGCACCTGGAGAATCCCCCTGAAAACAGATATGGCACGGGTGACTTCGTTCTACACTGTTATTAAAGCCTCAGATATTCCAAAGCGATATAAGGTTGAAGCTTCTAAAAGCCCTCAACTTCGCATGTATCTATTCTCGACCATCAGCTGTATGTTGCAACGCTACCTTCATTAAGTGAACCAATTGTGATAGTGACAACATGTTTCTTACGAAATCCATTGACATTCATATCTTACAAAATATAAACCCAGCTGGGCAATTTTCTACAGTGAAAATTGTAACTTCTGTAACAATTTCATCTTGTTTGTAAACCGGCATGCCTCATGTAACAAACTGTTATTTGGGAATATATTATTATTATTATGTATGAATATGATTCAAAGAGTCTCAAGTTTGGTTATCAGAAATCATTTGAGTTTGAGTTAGGTTTAAGTATTAGCGGCTAGATTTATTGGAGGTTGTCGATGAAAAGTTGAGAGGGTTGGTGTATGAACGTAACGAATGAACATCAGGTGAATATCGAAAACGTAAGTTATTACTACTGTGAGTACAACTCCGAGCAGAATAACATTTTTACATTTATAGAGTTGTTCTAGAAGTGTGCATACATCTAACTTATTTAATGTCACCACAAAGCTACACTACTCAATCAATTATCAGCCTTGCCTTCCTGACCTAATGCTTAGAAGATCGCAAAGGAAAGATTAACCAGAACTTGTATTGTTTGGAAGCGAAAATAATGAGATAATAGGAAACGGTGAGCGATCAGACTGCTACAGTCAGTCGTTGGTTATTTTCGGCCTTCAGTGAATCTGATAAACAATTCAACGACTTTTGAAGTTGGACTAGGTTCAGGATGATAAACAGATTTTGTTAAGATTCATTCTATTTCACTGTTTCCGTAGAACTATCTAAGACATTCATCCCTTTGTCTGGTGAGCATTCATTTAGGTAAGAATGACTGTTTGACAACAAGGAGTGTTGAGTTGAGTCATCCCCATCTATTTGTCAAACAACTGATCAGACTTTTAACCCTGCCTTAGGCAGCTTTACTGAGGCCATGAGATAAACGGATCCCGAATGTTCTTTGAGGTTATTTTATTATGTGTCAGGAGTGTGATTAGTCGTCGTCACATCAGTATAAAACTTTTAGGTTTTTTTTATATCTCACAAGGACTCACTCAACGTTTTAAAAAGCACCCGAAATCGTGAAATTTCCATGGAGGTGAAGCCTAATAACACTTTTCATACTATTAGTCACAAATTTCAAGGATATGACGGCGTGAAAGTAACCTAAAGCCACAAAACATATCATCAGTTTGGAATCAGTTTCAGTTTGGAAAGGACAGGAGGCTTGATAGCCTGTGTTAGTCCTGGCAATGATGGTCTCTCAGCCGATCCAACTTTCTTTTGAAGGAGTTGACGGATGAAGCCTCAACCACGTGCTGAGGTAATGAATTCCTCTCGTTGATGATTCGATGGGAAAGTCGGTAGTCAGCTGACAATCAATTCGTTCTGGGTTTGTGAACTTTTCTGGAGTGTCCTCGTAGATTTTCTGTTTTGGAAGACAAGAAAAATGAGGGCATATCAGGTGCGAATTTGTCATTAAGCAATTTGAAAACTGTAATCAAGTCGCCTCTGATTCTTCTATATGACAGCGGGAATGGGTTTAGCTTGGTCAGTCTAGTACCATACGAGAGCTTCGCCATTCCGGGAATCAGCCTAGTTTCTGTTCTCTGAACCCTTTCCAAGAGTTCACTGTCTTTTTTAGGCAGGGGCTAGATGCTTGTATACAGTACTCAAGTTTAGGACGTACGAACACTGTATACAAAGTCAGAAACGTTTTAGCGTCAAGATGCCTAAAAGCCCTGCGTATGGACCATAAAGTCCTAAAACCATTGGCGGCTATTGCACGGCAGTGTGCAGTAGTCTTTAAGTCTTGACTGACGATGACGCCTAAGTCGTTGTGTGCCTGAAAAATAGGTAACTCAGTGTTATTCATCGTGTATGTATCTTTTCCCTGGTGGCCAATATGCATCACAATACACTTGTAAGTGTTTATCGGCAATTGCCAGGTTTGGGACCATTCAGATAATCTCTCCAGGTCATTTTGAAGTTCTAAGCTATCGCCCTTGCTTTGTATCTTGACATCATCAGCATAGAGTAAGACCGATGACGATAGTAGACGAGGGAGGTCGTTTACGTACAGGAGGAATAACACTGGCCCCAAAACTGTATCCTGGGGGACTCCACTAAGCACAGTTTCCCAGCTAGACAACTTGGAGTTCACCCTTACTCTTTGTTGACGCCCAACTAGGAAGTCTTTTATCCACATCAATAGATTGCCTCTAATCCCGACATTCCTTAGCTTATATAACAGCCGGTTATGCGGAACTTTGTCGAAAGCTTTGCTGAAATCGATGTAAGCTACGTCTATAGGTAACTTTTGGTCCTTAAGAACGCACCAGCTTATATGAACAATGTCATATTAAATCTAATGGGTTTTAATTCTTCAGTGTCGAAACAAAGCCTACAAAAACATATTTAAAAGAGCACTGGGACATCTGAAGTAATAAATATTAGTCTATTTTTTTTCATTGAAACTCATACCATATACCTACTGAAGGTCATATGTACTCGTTGCTACAGCGGTAAAACCGGACTAGATATTTGGTCGCATTTTCAAACGTTGCCTGTAGGTTCAACTATGCCAATAGTATTCATCTGAAACCTGATATTTTCTTTACTTATGCTTTATTAAGTACGTACTTTTTAATGCTTTAAATGGTATTAAACTTTCAAAGATTAGTTGATCAAGAAGATTTAGACTACCAATTAATATTAGGTATTCGATTTTAATTGGCCGTTAAAGTTACACGATTATTGATCTGATATAGGACAACATTTTCGTGCTCGTCATTTAGCATATATATATCTTTGTTCGAATGAGTAGGAATTAAATATTGATGTAGTGATTAACGCTACATGTATCAGAACTATGAAATAAAGTGTTTATGTTTTAGAATGAATAGGGGACTTCCGATAATGGTGGCAAGTGTTCAGAAAGGGTGAACCACTCATGTCATGGAATGTGGTAACATTCCGTAAATAATTGTTCAGTAACTTTGACGCTGAACTTTCGAATTTCATTCAATGTATTTCACTAAGTATCCAGTCTAACATATTTTTCTATATTTATTCATGTTTAAAGTTAAATATGACTAAACATTCTGTTAGATCTCACATTTGAGTGCCTATGTGACCGTTGAAGACCAAATTTATAGGTGGCTACCGAATATCAATTCAGCAATTTACCAATACGCCGTACCCGAACTGAAGTTAAAAAGAATGAAGTTGAATCATCAAGCTTTAAAATAAGTAACCCCAACCGGAGGTGTTCATCTTTAGATATCTGGTCATACTGATGAAATTCTGGTTAGCTTACCCTTGGCCTGGTTATATTTAGCTACTCGAACTTATTTATGTGTCGTAGGTTTGATCTGAAGAGCTATCCTAACCTTCCGATTTTGGGTTGTTTCGGTTACATGTCAAATGAAAACAAATGATAAGATTGTCATGAAAACCATCCTTATTCCCAAAAAGCTTCTTCAGTCTTCAGTAATAAGGATAGTATGTTGATGAACCTGTGTTAAACCTGACAGATTTCCTTCCAGTGAAGGTCCAGCTTCTTCTTGAAAATGTTCACTGATGGTGCTGATACCACTTTTTCTGGTAAAGCGTTCCAGTCAGTATGTTTTGTTGAATTTGAAAGTAGAATAAGTAGGCTAGCTTCTATCAAATATATCTTAAAAATACTTTCTACTCGCCTTTAACTTTCCTAACATAAAAACAAAAGAGACAGTAATATTCATTTTTTCACCCTGAGTTGTGAATCCAATTATTATCATCATTCAGACTTTTTGACACTACCGTTGGAGTTAAACATTCGTTTTACTATGTCATTGATCATTAGTCCTTAGTAAACCACATATAATCATGTTCCTTATCCTACCAGCAAGTTATTTGCAGATGGAGTTAATGACAGAACGTTATTTCCAAAAACCACTACGACTGAGTCACAGCGCATCAAATTTGCCAGATATCGTGCAATATGCAAGATCTGGATCTTCAGGAAGATTTGACGATATAGCAGAAGGCAGTTATCCAGCTATTTATACGCACAGGAATATCAAATCATTTGCACCCTGGCGCCCCAAGTCTCATTTTTCCCCCGATCGGTTATCTTATTTTAATGATACTAAGTCAGGAAAATCACTGGGTCCCATTGTTAACGTTACTGGAGATTCGCTAGGTTTGCATGAACTGGAGGGTTTAAGAATTCCTTCTATATACTCAGCTGCACGCAACGCTCTCTACACAAGATATACGCCGGCCGACTGGACTAGGGGTAACTTAACGCGGCTGTCAAATTCAGAGCAGGCTATGAAGAGAGCTGAACATATAAGAGAAAATGGAGAGCGTTTGGGAGTTGAAGCAGATGACAGAATTAAACGAGCACAACAGGAAGTCGGCAGACTACTTGGTGAGTTTCAGTATGGTTATATACGATTATTTTTGTTTATCATTACTGAAAATACACTCTGTCATATTATTTCTCGTTTGTCGGTAATTTTGTGGAGGTTTAGAGTACACAGTCGACTCAAAAATATGGATTTACTTTTGAATATTAGCTTTGATTCAGAATGCATCTTCCAGGCTACGTTAGTACCGTAAAGCTTTTCTACTATAGAAAAGTCCATATTGATCAATGTTGTTCATTTTTCTAAACTACAAAGAAACGCCCTGAAAAAGGAATGTCAAACAGAAACCCAAACAATATTGCACAAAATAGGTCAAATTCTTAATTTAAATATTTCTGAGATCTATGAAGTTTCAGCGCCTTACTACTGTTATGATTTACTGTTGGAATACACAAATTAACACTATTTGTTTTTCTGAGTTTTATTTTGCTGATGTTTTAATATCATTTTAAATATTATCTTACGTTTTGATGTATTTATTTATAACATAAATATGGTGGTACGGTTGGAACCAAAAGAATGCTTAATTTAGTTGGTGTTTTTTAGCAAGATTTTTTCTAAGGGATAGGGTTGCCGACCCTATGCCCAACCCTCCCTCTTTACCAGGGCTTGAGACCGGTAGTAACTCTGGAAGAGCGGCAAGCGGAATTATGAAAAAGTATACCATATGAAATAAAATGGCGAAATTGTCGCTTTATATACTGACCACCGCTCTAATTTTAACTGCGAAATCCTGTTGAGTCTGCAGATTGTTCAGTATGTCAACTTCTGGGTCATATTTGTGAACCATGCCCAAGCCAAGTAAGCTATTACTTTCAAGATCTTGACATAAGGTAAATTATTATTATTACTGGATCTAAACTAACATTGATGGAAATATGTATAATTGCAGTGATGTTGCCACTGGATAAATTGAACCTTTTTGGGGACTACTAAGATCAAGTTTATTGAGTCATTGGACATCCTTGAATGGAAGAGGTGATGTTTTACGAGGAAAGTTTAGAATTTATTCTACTGATTATTTCTCTTGATGTCTTTTGATATGACTTGAGTTTTGATACCAGTAAGGATGGATAACATCACTAACGTCATTCCGGTCATCCCGAGCTTGGTAAACATCATTTTGGAATTGAATTCGGTTTTAATAAATCAACTTCAGTTGAGCACATCGCGTACTAAACACACATGTATTAATTGAATCAACTGTAATTCACAGGCAAAGGGTTTTTACAAAATTCATTCTCATGAAATTTCATTAATATCAAATAATAGGCGTCTTTGTCTTGGTCACCACTTTCTAGTGTAACCGTTTGTAAGAGTAGCATTTTACTTATTTGATCAATAAGACGCAACTACCTAAGTGTATAAATGCCGTTATAATTATTCTTTATTGAAGTCAGATATCTAACAAGGAATAATTTATGTCAATTTTTTGTTGTCAGTTAGTAGTAACAGGTAACGAGTACCATGGGATACTTGGTGTTCTTGTGGAAATTTTATTTGACTGACAGTCTCTTTCAAAAGTTCATTGTCATCTACTTATCCACTTATTTATTATTACTATTTTTGACAACAGTGATCAGTTGTTAATTGTGATCACGACTTTTCATTAGTAACTAAATGTTTTGGAATCAATAGGTTGGTATTACTTACTTACTTACGCCTGTTACTCTCAATGGAACATAGGCTGCTGACCAGCATTCTCCAACCCACTCTGTCCTGCGACTTCCTTTCTAGTTCTATTCAACTTCCGTTCATTCTTCTCATATCTGTCTTTATTTTTCGGCGTAATGTGTTTTTTGGTCTTCCTATTCTCCTCTGGCCTTCAGGATTCCATGTGAGGGCTTGCCTTCCCCCAATGCTTTTCCGTCAAGTATAATTCGATTGATGCATGATGAATTTTATCGAAGGATCTTGCTTTTCCCTTTGTGTATGTTGAGACCTACTGCCACTGAAGCTGCTGCTACACTGGTCGTCTTCTCCTGCATTTGTTGTTGCGTGTGTGACAGAAAAGCCAGATCATCCGCGAAGTCTAAATCGTCCAGCTTCATCCTAGCTGTCCACTGTATCCCGTGCTTCCCCTCCAGATGTTGACGTTTACATGACCCAGTCGATCACCAAGAGAAGGAGAAATGATTTGAGCAAGCAACCTTTCCTGACACCGGTCTTTACCTCAAACGAGTCAGTAAGGTGTCCTCCATGAACGATTTGGCAGTTTAATCCATCATAGGAATTCCGTATGATATTGACTATCTTCTTAGGTACCCCGTAGTGTCGAAGAAGCCTCTATAGTGTTGTCCTGTCCACGCTATCAAATGCCTTTTCGTAGTCAATGAAGTTGATGTAGAGTGATGAATTCCGTTCAATTGATTGTTCCACAATGATACGCAGAGTTACAATTTGGTCTGTACACGATCGATCCTTAAGAAATCCAGCCTGTTGGTCTTTAAGTTGGGCGTCTACGAAGTCCTTTATTCTGTTTAACAATACCCTGTTGGAAACTTTTTCTGGTAGTGAGAGAAGAGTGATACTCCTGTAGTTATTACACTTGCTAAGATCTCCTTTCATTAGAATTTTGATCAGAAGTCCTTTTTTCCAGTCTGTTGGTACTTGTTCTTCATCCCAAATCTTACTGAAGAGAATGTGGAGTACCTCTGCAGTTGCTGCTACTCCTGCTTCCAGTGCCTCTGCCGGAATGTTGTCTGGTTCTGCTGGTTTGCCGCTCTTAATTTGTCCAATAGTTATGCTAATCTTTTCAACTGTAATCGGCTGGTATACCTTCACTAAAATTTCACATGTTATTTATTTTAGTTATGTTAAGATAGAATGTTTTTGATAGTCAGTCATATAACTTTCATTCTGATTGTAAGGTGTTAGTTCATGCAAAATCCGATTAATTGAAACAGAAAAGTGGTTAGATTAAGACATTCTAACTTTCATGGTAAAGCTAATGAAGCCATAATGGTTTCTTTGAAAGTGGTTTCCTTGTTTCAAGGTTTACAAACCCACCGCTTGGCTGCTATTTCTTGGAGAAATCGGTATCCCTGGATTTTGGGCGCGTGGAAGTCTCACCAAGAGAAAGTATGCATTACATACCTACCGGTTATACATAAGTTTTCACCCATGTATCTCATGGCATAGATATAGATATATTTACTCACTTGAGAGGGCAGATGGTCACCATTCCCATCAAACGTATTTGCTACAACTAAATATCTCTTACGTATTACATGCATACCACTGCTACATAGACTTTTTCTCATGTACTTGATGGCATACATATAATCTTGAGCACTCTCAGAGAGGGTTGACAGTCACCTCTCTCCAGTATTTGCTAACATTTCTTTTTTTGTATTCGACCTGTGGGTTTAGGCCTCTTATCTTATTAGATATACGGTTGATATTTCAGTCTACTTTCTTTTGCGAGTTTGGCAAATACCTTATGTGTATACCTATATACACAACTACACAAACCGAAGCTCATGTAGTTCATATACATAGGCATACACATTGGTTAGCCCGTAGGATTCGAGAACACTGAGGTTGGGACTCCAAGTAATTCTGAGTGATGGATCAGTCTGACCGTCCAATTTTATCAGCAAGGTTGCCTCTATCACCCATTAAGATACCTTGTGTCGGAGTTTGCTGTCAAGGTCTTAAAACAATGATATTATCTAATATATTTATTGTTCTTATTTAATATTAGGTCAAAGAATTAATGATATCAATTATATGAAACATGAATTAAATAATGAAATTGATGCACTTGTTAATGAAATGAATAAATTAAATGAATCTAAAAGAATTGCTGAAAAATCATTTGCCGAAATTGAAAATCCATTACATATTACACAAGAATGTTTATATCATCGGGAAAAACGTCAATCTACTGACCTTGTACATGATCAACCAGAAAAAGCACTTTTAAAAGTAAATAGTTTATTTGTTATTAGTGTATTATGTCAGTTTTAAAAGTTATTTTACTATGGAGTAACAATAAATCTTCAGCTCAGCAAGAGTTTAGAATGTAACTGTAATGGATCATACTCTTGGATGTAATTAATTTGCATTTTAAGTATTCGTACTGTACTTCTGCTTATTATTAAGGATAATTTTAACATTTATGGTTTGTAGAATGTTCTAATAGCATGGCTAACCTCAAGAAGAGTTCAAGAGAGTTTTAGTGAGAAACTATGACTAGTGAGATCAAAATCTATTCCTGATGATGAGGTTTCGCAATTTTAGTGACTTTGGAAATGTGAACAGTTAAACGTCAACTCATTAGTCTAAAGGTCGAGCTCTCATTAAGTGATCTGAAGATTATAAGTATCATATCTGTAAAAGTCTTAGTTGAACACTACTTAGTCATTCTGAGCTAAGTTGAAAAAGCAGTTGATTATTCCATGACATCCAATGGAGGTGAGATCAAAATCAAAGGTGATATATACAGAATGTAATATAAAACTTTATAACTTAATCGATAATGATACACAAATTTTGTGCTATTATTAAAATGTTTAAAGCTTAAAAGCCATTGGGGTTGAAAAGTTCTAGGTATGTGTTTTCGAACTCCCATTTCTTCCTCTTTGGGATTCGTCATCTGGGCGTACCTGCACATGAGTGTTCATATTCGCGCAGAGGCTGGAACCTAGTAACTTTTGCTTCAAACGCTAAAGCGTTATCCACTGGGATAACGAGTCTAGATAGCCACTAGTCCTTACAACGTGTATGAATTGTAATTTTGACGGTTTGTATTTGCTCATCGATGTTGTTAAAGACTACAATTGATCAGTCTTTATTTCCATATATGTATTCTGTACGAATTCCTTCGGTACTACAATTTAGTCGGAACCTAACTAAAGTGCAATCCCTAAGGAATAGACACAGACTAAACATATGAATATAAGAACATATCAATTAAAGTCCTTAACACCAATAACGGGAACATACAAATCATCACATATAAAAATATTAATTATAACTTTTTGTACTGAAGGAACTGGAACATTATAGTAGTGTATATATGATCCGTTCTATTCAATACTAATAATAAGGTTTTCATATTTATGACAATACACAATTATGCTTACATTGTCAATAATTCACTTTATGAGACTAAATAAGTTTACCGTAACTTTGTTTCCTCAAATCCAAACTCAGTTAACGAAGAAGTTGTTTGACATTAGTTGTGTACGTCTTTAGGACTTAGTGCAATTTTTATTCTACTATTATTACTATTTTATCGTGAATTATGATTTACGGTTTAATATGAATTTGTAGATATATTTATTGATGATATTGCATTAACTATGTATGGCCCCCAAATGCCCTAGTACGGCCGAGAGTGGGGAGAGTCCCCCCTCCCTCTCCAAATGCTCTCACATCGCCACGCGTATAAAGGCCGTGTCAGGGAAGTCCTACTCACTGTCTTCTCGTGGCATTACTGTTGTTTACGAAATTGAGAGGATGAAAAGCGAATGTCTGGTGCTTTAACCGGGTTGGTGGACATGGAAAGTTCACCTAGGAGAGTTGGAAAACCTTGATTCCAAACCAATGGTGCACATGGGCTCCAGTATCCTGAGGGGACCAATGGCATATGAATCAATCGTTGGTCACTGGCTACCATGGGACTAGATCTCCTCACGATGCTCCACTGCCTTGTGGGTCAGACATTTAGGTCAAAGGCTCGGGGTGTGGCCCCCTAAGGAAACCACCTGCTTGAGTTTGGGCACCTGGGCAGTATTATAGCCCTCACACAAATCGAATGAGATTTGTGAGGCGCATATATAACTTGTGCCCCTTTATACATTTAAACGACCCTTTCACTCATACTTATCATTCACTTAATTCTCTTACGTAAACTCTTCCAATCCTAATCAATTATTACGCAACCCATCTTATCGATCTTTCAATCCCAGGAATCTTTTGTAAATCTTTTGTCACCTGTAAAATTATCACACAATTTATCGTTCCTGTCTCTGAACCTCATTTAATCATTACATCACCCACCCCTCATGTATTTTTATTGTGACACCAAATGACCTCCGGGTTGTTTTTGCATATATATATATATATTTATTTATTTATTTATTTATATAATTATTAATATTGATAACCTTTGTCATTCAAGTTCAATTCATTCACCTATGTCAATTGTTTCACATTACATCTTACCTCAATGTAAACTTTTAATACATATTTGATTGTAAACAGCTGATGAGGAACCACGAAATATAGTGATGTCATAACATTGATCATTGTGACATCTTATGACTAAAGATAGAAAATATAGAACAATATTATTTTACATTTTGTTCAAACAAAATGTTATCACACAAAGTCCTAATGTTGATATATGAATCATTGTAAGCACAAGTACACTTTTTATCTTGAGATGATGGAGAAGAGTTTTGTTCTCTGAGCTGGATAAAACCATCTAGTTTAAAGAACAAAACTTTATCAAAAACACTTTCATCTTTTATGTTGATCCTTTTTTTTTCAAGTATGTTTTGATCAGTGATTATGAGGGTCTTTTTTTTGAGGTATCTCATTTGGAGATATTTGCTTGATAATATAGAACAAAACAAAGTTTTATAGATTAATAAAACTATGAAATGATTAAATGTTATTTACATTCCGTTTTCTATTATGTTTTCGTATGGTATCATTTCTCTTTCATAATTATAAGATGAACTGTTATACCAAACTTTAAAGTGATGTACTTACTTTGGAAATATTATCTTTTTGAAAGATGGTAAACAATTAATCGACATTTTGATTTAATCACCGGATTTCATTTTAAGTTATCAACGTTGAAATCTTGTGTCTAATCGGTTACATGTCAGTCAGTGGGCCACAACTTAGGACCATGCACATATATACAGCGTTCGAAGTTGCCCACACCTGATAAGCGTAACAAAATGAACAACAAATTTCAATATTTGAGATCATGAATCAATTGAAGCTAGACCATCATGGAAAACCTGGAAACAGTGGATGGCCGTTTCGTCCTATTATATGGTGGCCATCTACTGCTTCCAGGTTTTCCATGATGGTCTAACTTCAATTGATTCGCGATCTCAACTATTAAACATACTATAATATCCACAAAACCCCTTCTGATAATGTACACCAAATTCATAGAAGTTGGTACTTCAATGGTAGTAATATATAAAAGAAAGATTGCATATAAGGATATAATCCAGGAAGAAAGAATTAGTTCGTAGAAATAAAGGTATAAAGCAATTTTAATCTCACGGTTTAAAGATAGACAAAGGGTGTATACACCTACGCCATTGTGATCAATTCTGAGCCATGTTAGATGGTGTAGTGTAGTTTATACATAAATACTTATATTTATCCTACCTGTAAACGATAAAATCGTTTAGATAATATTAGACAGAATCTTTCCAAAATTATTGTTAAAATTATCATTCTAGTTTAAAATCCTAACATTAAGATATAATAGTAATAATAAAAATAGACATAATAAGCAAAGATGGATAGTGGCTAGCAGTGGAATCCAGGACGCTGAGTGGATAACGCGATGGCGTTTAAAGCGAACGGTACTGGGTTCGAGTCCCCCAGTGAACATCAACTCTGAGATGCAGGTATATCCATCTGACGAGTCCAAAATAGGACGAAACGCGCGTCAAAATGGATTCCACTGCTAACCACTATCCATCTTTGCTCATAATGCTTGTGAATTAAGGCTATATCTAGACAATACGCATAGTATGCACATATGACAATAAGAGACTTACCAGTTGCAGTCCTAAAACATCAATGTAAAGTTTCAAACAAATAACATCAAGTGAATTCAATAATAAACATACATTTCGTCAAACTAGAAAAAAACCTAAATTAAAATCTATCATTTCATTGATTAGTGAATATTGTTAATAATAATACATTAAGAATTCACCACAGTTCAACATAATATTGAAAACCAAGAGTTTATAGATAATTACCTTGTTGTACTTTAGAACTTTGAATTAATATTCATTCATAACCTTATGGATAATCAACCATAGAGTTATCAAATAAAACAATTCTTTATTCCTTTTAACTTTTCCAATTAATTTCCAATTAATTAAAGTCCATACATGATGTTGATTATCCCTGAAAAATAATATCATTCACCTAATAAACATTGTCCTATACTCTATTAATGTTCATTTTATTTATTATTCACCAAGAAAAAAAAAAGAAAACAAAAAAAAAACATAATTATTAACACAAACATGCTTTTTAAATGATTTTATTCCCCCCCCCCTTCTCCCCACCTAGTAACATTGAAGTGAATAGCAATCATGTCTTTTAATAATTCAATTGTTTGTTTGTTCGCTTGTGAGTTTTGTTTGTTTGTGTGTGTGTGCTTGTTTGTTTGTTTGTTTTATTTTCACCTCAAATTTCTTTTATAATCATACATTTTTATAATAGAATATTAATAAGGATAAATATTTGTAATCATATTATTATTATTATTATTACTATTAATAGTATTATTAATAATAATTAGTTAATAAACAATTATTATTATTGTACATTACCTTGACTTATATTCAATGTATATGAATAGTTTCACCTTAATTGTTTTAATTAAATAATTAATTAATTATTATTGTCATTGAAATTATTCTTGACCTTATTCTATAGATATAGATAGATAGATTAAGATAATGCTCATTCATTAAAGAAAATAGAAATTACCTTTTTTTCGTTTTTACTTTTTTTAAGGAAATTTATTATGCAAAATAATGATAAAAATAGTAGTAGTAGTAATAGTAATGATAATAATAATAATACATTAATTAAATATAAATATAATTCGTATAATAAGCAAAGATGGATAGTGACTAGTAGTGGAATCCAGTTTGATGCACTTTCCGTGCTATTGAGGACTCGTCAACTGGATGTATCTGCATCTC